TTAAATGGAGAGCAAATGTTTTGAGAATGATGAGGGCAATGAATGTACAAATGTGCTTTACACAATGGATGTGTGTATGGATTGTAATGAGCTGTATGAGGCTTAATAAAATGATTTTTAAAAATCTAGGATAGAACAGAGGAGGAGGCCCCACACTTCCTGATCTCAAAACCTACCCTAAAGCCACAATAGTCAAAACAGCCTGGTATGGGGACAACACAGACACGTGGATTGAAGGAACCCACCCACCTATGGACCGCGGATCTTTGACAAAAGGCCAAAATGCATTAAATGGAGAGGAGAAAGTTTCTTTTAACAAATGGTGCTGGCAAAACTGGGTAGAAGAAATGAAGCAAGACCCCCCTATCTCACATCTGTATACAGAAAATAAAACTCAGGGTGGATCAAAGACCTAAATGTAAAAAGCAAAAACTATCGAGATTATCAATGAAAAAATAGGACCCCCCCCAAATGAGGAGCTGATACCACGGGCTCAAGTAGAAAGAAAATGTTTTGAAAATGGTGATGGCAACAGATGTACAAATGTGCTTGACACAATGGATGGATGGATGGTGATAAGAGCTATACAAGCTCCCAATAAAATGATTATTTAAAAAAAAGGATAAAACACATCAAAAAAATAAAGAAGAAAAAAATTAGAACCCTAAATATAGGGCAAATACATAATCACATAAACAAAAATATACAAACAGCAGAAGATAAAATTGATGACAAGGACCTCATGGAAATGACATGCTTTGGTGCATCAAAATATTTAACCAAAGTGAAAAGAAGACCCTGCAGACTAGGGGGAAAACGGGGCCAGTGACATATTGGACAAGGGACTAATCTTTAAAGTATATAGAAAACGTCCCCTCAGAAAGAAAAAGACATGCCAATCATTTTTTAAAAAGGAGAGAGGACATGAGCAGACATTTCCACAGAGACACATGAAGAAATGCTCTCAATCATTTGCCATTCAAGAGAGGCGACTCAGCGCAAGGCGATATCATCTCAGCCCAGCATGATCAGCATAGTTCAAGAAAACAACAAATGTTGGCGAAGGTTGTGGAGAGACCGGAACCCTCAGACACTGCCGGTGGGATGGTAAAGTGGATCAACCACTATGGAAAATGGCATGACACGTCCTTAAAAAGTTGGAAATAGGAATACTGTATGACCCAGCTATCCCCCTGCCGGCTATGTATATATCCTAGAGAAATGAGAGCCATACCAAAATGGATCAGACACGCACCCATGTTCATCACAATCTCAAAAAGAGACAACCTAACTGCCCGCGTGTGGAAGTATGGGGAAGTAAACCGAGTGCAGGGCAGACCCAGAACTGCATACTGCAAGAGGTTACTGAGCAACGATGAACCTGGGACACACCTCTGAACACAGCTGGACTTGGAAGTCAATGTGGTAAAACGAGTCAATCGCCAAAGGGCAATTACAGTATGAGACCACTGCCCCAAAGCGTCAATAGCATGTTCACCCTAAAAGAAACATTCTTTGATAGTAACCAAAGGTGGGAGGGGAAGTTCAAATTAGAAGGTAGACACATATGAACTTGCGGAAGGACATTATCCAAGAGGGTCCCTCTAAGACTCAAATTCAAAATAGTCACATGGGTGGACCTTAAGTCTGCGTGAAAGAGGGCCAGAAATGGCACTCTCCCATTCAGGTCTATTTCCAAGAGGGAGGGCCTCTTGTACCCCAGAGCATGCATTGTTCAGACGAGCCCAGAGGGGACTTCACCGAACACCATGGGAACTGGCGTGCTGACACCTAACTAACTACAAAAACAGAAACACTCATTGGTCACTAACCCTGGCCTTAGGGAAACCTGGACTCTACTGTCTGGGGGCATCACTTGTGTTAGGGTGCCCCCTGCAATGGCAGGAACAATGCTGCTGAGGGATCTTGTTCCTAATATCACCTGGGGAAACAATATCACATCCTCCCACCTCCCCAATGTGGGCTCTGGTGCCATTGCACCTGCCATGCAACAGACAACCTCCTCCTGCAGCAGCCAGGGCCTTCCATCAGGTGGGACATCGAGGTTCATGAACCAGAGAGGCTACACGGGGCAGGCCCAGCATAGTGATAGGAGGTTTAACTCGGTGCTTGATCCCTTGGGCCTGGCGCACTGTGAGGTGACCAGTATGGCGTCCACTGCCCTCCCAAACACAGTGTTAACCCACCTGCTGGCACAAACTGGGAGTCGTGTGCTAGGCCAAGAAGAGATCGCTATCACAGAGATGAATGGAGGCATGTTGTAAGTAACATGGAGGACAGAGAAGATACAGAGCAAGTCCTCCACAAGACTGGGCAAGCGCAGTCCTTGGACCGGTTCAGCTGGTTTGGGTGAGGCCAGGGGTGCGCTAGCTGATTTCCATCTCTCCTCCAAGGGCCTGTGGTCATCCTGCTGACACGATGCTATTAGTTGCCATCCACAAATGTTGCCCAAAGATTTTACAAAAATGGTTCAGAGAAGAGACACCATCATGTCCACTGTGCTACAGACAGGCAACACTCTCCAATGTGAGTGATGGACATCCTCTGTCTACTGAGGTGGGGTGAGGAGCGTGGACTGCGGGACGGAGTCCGTCTGAACTCAACTTGCCGCCCTGCCCTGTGGCCCACAAGTGAACCTTGTGCTCAGGACTAAATGTGTTGGTCTGGCTTCTCGGACAGGATGAGCTTGTGGTTGACTTTGGCTGTCTTGACCCCAAGCACATCCTACTAGTACTGCTGGTGGACAGTGAGCCCCTTCCTCCCCTGCCACCCTGATCACGTGTCAATACTCCCAGCAACTGCTTAACTGAGGGTGCAGCGTTGGACCAGCCCAGCTTCCTGGTGGGGAGGGTCGAGGAGTCCCCTCCTGCAGCACAAGGGGTGTGTGTGCAGACCATGTCTCTGAACTGGCTGTGCAGCCAGAGCCGCTGGCCAAGGGAGACCAATGCCCACAATGGAAGGTGACCTCACTCTGCCTTTTGTTGACTTGAGTCAAACGTTGGTCCATCCAGTGTCTGTGTGTGAGTTTGACTTTATTGGTGTCCCTGACTCTTGCAAGGCAGGAGTGGGTAGAAATCTAACATCGCTGCTCCTGGGCACAGAACTCGTGTGCTCTCTGCTCGTCTCCATCTGGTGGGACTTCTCCCCTGGAGGCGGTATAACAAGTGTGATTTGCCCAATAAGTAACTAAATAAAAACACTATTTCTGGGAAGCCTTGGGACCTGAATCTACATTTGCAAAAAAATGAGCGGAAGAGTGAGATCAGGAAAACCGGCCTGTGGAGGTAATAACTGGTCTCACTCCCTCTACACCCGCAAAACCCAAAGCTACCCCCATCGAGTGGATTCCAACTCTTTAAAAACCAATCTTCATTGGATGGATTGTTAGAAGATTTATATGACACCCCCCCCCCCGCCCCCAATAAAATGACCAAAAAATAAAAATTCTTGTTGCCGACACCTATCGACCTAAGAGCAATCCTCTATAGTGGTTTCCAAGGATAAGAATCTTTACAGGAGCAGGTAGACTCATCTTTTCCCCATCCAGTGGTGAGTGGATTTGAACCACTGACCTTGCAACACTTACCCAACAGCCATAAACAACACTAACTAAAACACACCGAACAATTCCTCTGCCTTAGAAGACAGCTCTTTGGGAGGGAAAGATGCGATGGCAGAAATTGGTATTTGAGTAAAACGGAGGGAGGAGAATGAGGTCCAGAATACTGGCTTCTGTGTGGGAACAGTGGCGTTGCATTAAACAGAATCATAATAATCAATAACAACAAACAAAACCCAAAGCGCTACTTACTTGGAATTCTAAGGGGAAGAGGGCAGAATGTGTTTCGTCTTCTATGCCGTTCTCTCTGGAAAAGAGACGTCCCAAGAAGGCACAGGATCCATAGGAGGGAGGAACAAAGGTGGAGAGGGGCATGAGATAACCTGATTTTATCACGATTCCCCCAACACACCACGGGAGGAAATACCGAGCTCCAGTGGGATATTCTCTCCCCTTTCCTAAAAATCAAAAAGGAATCCAGAGTCCAGGTTGGGATCGCCCTCCCTATGGGGCTCAGAGAAGGCTCAGTGGTTCGCGGCCTGCACTCATGGTAGCTTCCAGTACAAATGGGGATCAAGCTTCAATCTCGAGATGTGAATTCAGAACTCTCACACGCTGTGTGATCCCTAAAACAGAACTCAATCTGTGCATGTCTCAGAGACTACCCCCCAAAACCCTCAAAACCCAACAACAGAGTCAGCAGCAACAGAGCAAACTAACTCCTTACCATTGGTACACTGCTTAACCCATGCTCCAAGGACTATGCACAGACGCGCGGAATCAACTCGGTGGCAGAAAGGACTGCACCGGCGGAAAACTTTGAAATCAGGACCCAGGTGGGTGGGCGTCAGCCCTGGAAGAAGTCAGCGTTATCATGAATACGCGACTGCCCGGGATCGTGTCTCCCCAAGTGCCAAGTGTGGGTCTCTGAGACGGCGCTGAACCGTGCTCCCGACGCTTTGGGGGGCCACCAGGAGAAGCCGGCCCCAAACCCAGCGCTGCCCGGCCCGCGCCCAGCTCCCGGGTCCACCCGGGGGTGCTCGGCGTCCTCGCCGAGCGAGCTCTCCCTTCGCCAGGCCGATCTCCGCCAAACGCCCTGGCTCAGCTCGTCCGTCCCCTGCCGTCCCGCCGTCCTCCCCCCTCGAAGTCCTGGGGGGCCCGTCCCTGCTTCTGCGGCCCGAACGAAGACCCTAAGGAAGACCCACGTCCCCCAGATGACTCACCGCCGAGAAGAAATGACTGGCCGGAAGCAAAAGTGGCGTGGGGGTGGATTACGGCGGTTCCGGACTACAGTTCCCAGAATCCTCTTTGGCACCGGGCCTGGCTTAGGCTAGTGACGTCATAAGGCGTCCGCCAGCGGCGGGCCGCTCGCGGGATAGTGATGGCAGCCCGGTCTCTGGCCCCTCCTGCTGGCTACCTGCTAGTGTCCCGGCTGTGCCTTGGACTGCGGATCAGTTTGAGGCTGCAGGTAGCTCAGCAGGATCGGAGATGAGATGTTTCTACTCCCTTTAAGAATGATCCCTCTCGGTTTCTTAACACCTCTTCGGATAAGGGAACAAGCGATTCAAATTGGTGGGGAGGTGGGGGTGGGAGACCTGGTAGGGCATGATCAAGGGGAATGTAACAAAGAGGAAGTGCTGAAAT